TTAAAGGTTGAGAGGTTAATAGCCCTTCTTTGTACCTTGTTTTGGAGGCTTTTACCCTTGTGTTTCCTACCCTTTTAATATCTTTTTCCAAGCTTTTAAACACTGAATTTCAAAGTAATTTCAGTGGTAAAAATCATGTTTTGAAGTTCAAAATAGGAGGGGCTAGCCTCCTCTCATTTTCTCTGTTTGCTAGCTTAGATAGTTCTATGTGTTAGCCTATTTTTCTAGCAATTTATAGCTTAATTCCAGTATAATTTAGGCTCTTTTTTGGATTGTTGTAACTTTGTTTTTGACTGGTTAAGTCATTTGAGTCTTGTTTTGTGTGGTTGTAGTGTTGATTCCTTCACTAGCTTAGTGTTTAAAGGCTTTAACCATCATTAGTGTGAGTTGGTTGCATGTTTTAGTGCTTTTTTCACCTCATTTCAACACGTAATCACCTCTGCAATCCTCCTCAATTCATCACTTTTGATTTGCTTTGAAAGTGGTTTCAAACCACTTGTTTGCCTAAGTATGAAATTAAGGTGTTGCACCTAATGGTTTAATCCCTTAGGAGGTTCATTACCAACAATGTAATGCCTCTTTCATGCCCAAAGTAACTTGTGGCTTGAGCCCTCTTTCCATTAGAGGACACTTACCAATGGACTTAATGGATTAAAGAATGATTTGGTAATTAAAATGTGTAAACAAAACATGCAAGTAAAAGAGGCAATATGAGCATTCTTTGTGTTGCAGTGCATGTGTTCAAACCGGACGTTAGTTTGAACATAAGGCAAATGGAACATTTCATACTCAATAATGATGAAACGTGCCATTTTTCTTGGTCTCCATTGCCCTTGATCATGCATGATAGGGTGGTGGCCCTTTGAGTCATATTTGTGCATTTATTGAAATTGTACAACTTGGATTTTTGGCCATCATGCAATGAAATTGCTTGATTGGTAGTTTTGGATCCAAGTGTGCCACTCATTTGAGGTTTTGAGATGATGAGGAGGGGTATAGTACAAACAAACCCTTGAAAAAACCTTCATTTTGCTCTGTTTCTACTCTGTTGTAGTATGGTGACCCAGAGCACCAGTGGCCGACAGTGCCTCATCAGTGGCCAGCAGGGCTTCATTTCTGGCCGGTAGATGGCCGACAGCATCCCTCTATGGCCGGTAGGCCACTGGTGTAACCCTCAGCAAAGTTTTGGTAAGGTGGAGTAGAAAGATTCTAGAGTGTGCTCAACCCTGCAAACAAAGCCTCTCAAGAGCAAAATGGAGGGCTTTTCATGGCGAAAACCGAGTGCATGCGTTTTTCACTTCTTGAAGCAGAGCTATGGCAGTGTAGTTTAATGCCCTGTATGCTTAGTTAGTGTGCATTTGTTTTAATTAATTAGTTTACTAGTTGATTAAAGTGTTGTAATAATTAATAATTAGTTTACTAGTTATTCGATTGATTTGTAATAATTTGTCTAATTAGCTTATTCATTCGGACCTCCTTCGCGAGGGCATAGTGTTGTAATAAGTGTGCGTGTGCGTGTGCATGTGCGTGTGTGTATGTCTTCCAACCCCACGTCTTTCTCCATTTTATTTAATCGCTTTCGATGGTTAGATTATGGATCATATTTCAATTAGCATATAGCATGCTTGCATCTATTCATTTGTCTTGCATGCACCGAGGCTTGGCGCATCATTTAAACTGCATCGTCATTTCAATATTTCTTTGAATACGTGTTTCAAAGCATGCTATCAAAGTGTTTCAAATACCATGATTAAGTAGTCGAGCCTATTTAGTTACATTATTGCATGCGTTGCATTAGGCATCTTGTATAGTTAGGATCGTGCTTCTTTCTAACTAGTTTTTGTTTTGGCTTGGAGTACTCGGTAAGCTTTTATGCTTTAACATATCACATGCATGTTGATGTTGCCATGATTAGCATGCTTGCCATGAGGCTATGTGTTTATTTGCTAAACTGTATGAATGCCTGTGGATGGAGGATTTATTATTTGAATTGGAATGATTCGATGAATGTGAGTTTTAAGCCCACTTTGTTGTGGCAAAATCATGTTTTAAGCTCACTTGAGGTGGCAAATCTACATCTTTTAAGCCCACTTGAGGGTGTCAAATTCAAACCATTTTCGCAAACAAACATAACTTGAAATGTTCCAATTCTTGCGACTAGTCTATATTTGCTTGTGCACATCACATAGTAATACTAGTTTAATAACCGGAATAAAAGCACATAATGTTTATAAAAAATCATATCATGATTAGTAGAGGCCGATCTTTGATCGGACGAGCGGGGGTACTCAATTCATAACCTTTCTCCCTCGTGCCTAAGTTCTCGAGTCGAGGCAACTTTGGTGATGACGGACACGTGGCCTTCGACACGAGTCAAGGTTTCTTAAATTTTTTCAAAATAAAATATTTAGGTGGCGACTCTGTAATCTGGCAAAGCAGTCTAATTTTGGCATTATTTGATTTAAAATCAGTTTTCCAAAAAGATTTACCGGATTGGACTCTTTGGTGTTTATCAGTTTCACATTGCACTTGTGAGATTAGATTCACAATTGCAGGAGGCCGAACTGTGAGGCCTTTCATTTCAACCCTTTCCAAAAGGTGGGGTGCGGAAAAAGGTGAGTCCACAGGATGTTGTGAACATTTACAGTACTAATTTGTATGATAATGCACATACTTACTACAATCATGCAATGCCAATTTTATAATACAATCTCAAAATTGAAATACAATTTCAAACATGGGATAACAAAAGTAATATATTTCCTCTAAATACAGTGGTTAATGTTTACAAAGTGTCTAATTGATTTACACATGTAATGAATGTTCATAACATAATTATGTATCACAACAATATCTGACACAAGGAATTTTCATGTGAATGTTCATTACGGTTAATAACAACAATTTGATAGAGGGGGGAAGGATAGTGTGAATATTCACATGGACCATATTTCATGCCACTTTCATGGAAAATAATCAAGAATTGAATGTTCAAGTTATTGGATCACCAGTAACAATCAATAATACCAATAAGGCAAACATTCACAAAAGGAGAAAAAAATAACTACGATATTACAAAATAATGATTGGCCAAATATTTTTAATCCATGTGAATGTTCACAGCTTTCAACAATAACAATAATAATATCTAAAATAATTTGATTGTCCAAACATTTTCAATCCATGTGAATGTTCACAGTTTTCAACAACAACAACAATAACAACAGAAACAATTTGGTTTGCCGAACATTCTTCCAAACCATTTGAATGTTCATAGTTTTGAACACAACATAATGGCAACTGTAATGTTTTTAGGTGAAAAAAATCCATATAATTGGAGATTAGGATGGCATGAACTATATGGAGTTCTATATATTGTATGAATAGAAACGTGAGATATTTGTGAAAGTACACAATGTTGTTTGTTGAAAAAGAGATTTAGGGTTTACATACTATAATGATTAGATTACTTACGTTTTTTGCCCATTTCGACGGTTGCGTTGTTATAAATTGTCGTCGAAGGTGATTTTGACGAAGATAGACCTTACGGATGTTCAACAATGGTGATTCTACGATTTTCGCGACTGACGGCGTAGGGATGATGAAGAAGATAATGAGACGATGCAACGATGGAACAATGAGAGTCTTTTGGGCGTTGAGACGATATGGAATACGATTTTGGATTTTTTGAATGGTGGAGATACTGTACGTGATTTCCCGCAAGAAGAAAGGGGAAGAGAGAGACGGTTATTTGATCCAAAGAAAGGATAGACGCGTGTTTGTTTGAGGGTTTTTTTGATTTTTTAGTATGAAATGGGACCTAATGGAATATTATAAAACACTATGGGTCATATGGAATAGGACTCTTAGATAGTGGATTTACTGAAAAAGCTCCCAAAATTTAATATTTCTAGCATTACCTAAAGAAAAATGCTATGAATCCTAAATAATTTGTCAAATTTTCTACCAAACCTTACACATGAGTGTGTGATCCACACAAATCTATGTATATAAATCCCATACCCATATAAAAAATTTGATAAAAAAATTAATAAATTATTTGAAAGTCTCTAACATAACTCTTACCTAATAAACGCACTTTCATTTATTTTTTTCAAAAATTTATTTCAAAACAAAAACCAAACACATCCCAATCTTTTAAAACACAATTCACGACTCAAATCTCATTACAAAACGCAAATATAACAACCTTACGTTTTTTGCCCATTTCGACGGTTGCGTTGTTACAAATTGTCGTCGAAGGTGATTTTGACGAAGATAGACCTTACGGATGTTCAACAATGGTGATTCCACGATTTTCGCGACTGACGGCGTAGGGATGATGAAGAAGATAATGAGACGATGCAACGATGGAACAATGAGAGTCTTTTGGGTGTTGAGACGATATGGAATACGATTTTGGATTTTTTGAATGGTGGAGATACTGTACGTGATTTCCCGCAAGAAGAAAGGGGAAGAGAGAGACGGTTATTTGATCCAAAGAAAGGATAGACGCGTGTTTGTTTGAGGGTTTTTTTGACTTTTTAGTATGAAATGGGACCTAATGGAATATTATAAAACACTATGGGTCATATGGAATAGGACTCTTAGATAGTGGATTTACTGAAAAAGCTCCCAAAATTTAATATTTCTAGCATTACCTAAAGAAAAATGCTATGAATCCTAAATAATTTGTCAAATTTTCTACCAAACCTTACATATGAGTGTATGATCCACACAAATCTATGTATATAAATCCCATACCCATATAAAAAATTTGATAAAAAAATTAATAAATTATTTGAAAGTCTCTAACATAACTCTCACCTAATAAACGCAATTTCATTTATTTTTTTCAAAAATTTATTTCAAAACAAAAACCAAACACATTCCAATCTTTTAAAACACAATTCACGACTCAAATCTCATTACAAAACGCAAATATAACAACCTTACGTTTTTTGCCCATTTCGACGGTTGCGTTGTTACAAATTGTCGTGTGTGTGTTTCTCTCCCTTTTTCAAGGGATTCTATGAAATCGAGTTCGGTTTGAATCTCACACACGCACAAATCTGTATACAGTGTGTGTGTTAGGGTATCAGAGTAGAGTGATAGAAGAAGACAACCATGTCGCTGAGACCGAGCACGAGAACCGAGGTTCGCCGGAACCGGTACAAGGTGGCCGTCGATGCTGAGGAAGGGCGGAGAAGGAGAGAGGACAACATGGTCGAGATCCGAAAGACCAAACGAGAAGAGAGCTTGCTCAAGAAGCGTCGCGAAGGCCTTCAACCCCAACCTTTTCCCGCCAGTGTCCCTCCCTCCACCCTCGAGAAAAAGGTCTCTCTCATTTTATGATCTTCTCTGTATAATAATGTTTAATTGAGGGTTTGGTTGTGTTGAATGATTGGTTTTGTGTACATTTGGATTTGAAATTTTAGGGTTTTTATTAATTTTATGATTTGAAGATTGATACCCACTATTTTGATTACGTGATATGAAACACTCCAATGAACAAACTTGCATAAATTTGGCTAAAAAATTTGGTCTTGAAAAATCAAAGTAAACAGTTGAGTCTCCCTTAATTTGGGTCGAAAAAGTGCGTAAAACACAATTTGATAGAAGTTCAATTCAAGGAGTGAAGAGGGTTTTGAATGATCTTTACCCAAAATTTTAAATTTGATATGGGTTTGAGTCAAGGATTGGAGATGGCTTTAGTTGTTTGGATTAGGGTTTAAAAAGGGTTTTGATTGTATATCGTGCCATTGTGATTTTAGTTTGTTTGAGGTTATGGTTTTGTTGCATGTTGGCTGCAGTTAGAGAGTCTTCCTTCCATGGTTGCTGGTGTTTGGTCTAATGATGGCAATCTGCAGCTAGAAGCTACTACACAATTTCGTAAATTGCTTTCTATAGGTATGATCATGTTTTGAAATGGGCTTTGTTTATCCTGCTTCATGTTTCCTTATGCTTTTGGAATAGTGATTGCTGTATTTAATCACCAGAACGTAGCCCACCAATCGAAGAAGTTATACAGTCTGGTGTTGTTCCCCGCTGCGTTGAGTTTCTTATGAGGGAGGATTTCCCACAACTTCAGGTCTGAAATCATACTGTATATTTTTTTGCTTGTTCTTTTGGAATTTGGAGACACTTGAATAGTTATTATTTATGGCATTTTGAATTTTTTGCAGTTTGAGGCCGCCTGGGCTCTCACAAACATAGCTTCTGGTACCTCAGAAAACACCAAGGTGGTAATTGATCATGGGGCGGTTCCCATTTTTGTCAAGCTTCTGGCATCTCTGAGTGATGATGTTCGTGAGCAGGTAACGTGTCAATGTTCATTGATCCTTTTGTAATCAGAAGCTGTATGCCATTTGGAACTAAAATTAACCCAAGGTTTTAATGTTGAACTACTTTTGATTATAGGCTGTGTGGGCATTAGGTAATATTGCCGGTGACTCCCCCAGGTGCCGTGATCTTGTGCTCAGCAATGGAGCTTTGATTCCTTTGCTTGCACAATTGAATGAGCATGCCAAACTTTCAATGCTGAGAAATGCCACATGGACGCTATCCAACTTCTGTAGGGGCAAGCCACAGCCTCCATTTGAGCAGGTGGGTTATCTTGATTGAGGTGTTGTTTTAGCTTCAAGCAATCTTGTTTGTTTTCTTTATCGCTTCTTCAGTATGCATTGAGAATTCTTGAAATTTATTGGCAGACAAGGCCTGCACTTCCTGCCCTCCGGCAACTTATTCATTCCAATGATGAAGAGGTGCTGACAGACGCATGCTGGGCTCTCTCGTATCTCTCTGATGGTACAAATGATAAAATTCAAGCTGTGATTGAGGCAGGTGTCTGTCAACGACTTGTTGAACTCCTCCTGTAAGTAGTATTTCACTTGTTCTTTTGAGCTTTATATGCCACTTAATTCATTGCTGTCTGAATTTAAACTACGTATTTGTTGTACCAGTCACCCATCCCCCTCCGTCCTCATTCCAGCACTTCGCACAGTTGGCAACATTGTGACAGGAGATGATCTTCAGACTCAGGTATGAGCTTGTGAGAAGTGGTTTGGATTTTTCTCCCTTTTGCTTCACATCATTATTTGATTAGCATCCTGCTTGGTTTTTAATCTAGTTCTTGAAAATATGTGACCAGGTTGTTGCTTTTGTTTATTATTAGTCAATAACTTTTTTTGATTGTTAATTTCCTATTGGGAGATTTGGCTCTGAAGTAAGCCTCTTTCCTTTAAACAAAAACTCTGCAATATATACATATATTTTGTTATGCTATTTTCATTGTAAATGTATGATGCACGGACACGGGACACGACGTGGACATGCGGACACATAAAATTCAAAAAACGGGGAACATGATATGCTGGGAACACGTTCAATATATATAATTTTATTTATTTATTATATGTCTAAAATTGAAGAAAAAAATCATTGAAAGGTAATTAAAAATGCATAATAACACTAACAAAAATTTTAAAAAATATAAATTTGAAAAAAACAATAAAATTAATAAACACATTCAACAAAACGACAAAATTAATAAACACATTCAAAAAATTGCTTTTTTTGTGCAAATAAAAATAATTTGTTCTATGTATTTTTAGGTTAAGCAAATAAGAATACCAAAAAATAGAAAAAATAAAAAGAAGGTCTTAGGTATAAAAAAAAAGAGTTTAAAAAAAAGGGATAAAAAAATTCATCTTTTATCAGAGAGAAGAAAAAGGGAAAAAATAATAATAAAACAAAACATAGAGAGAGAGAGACAACACAGAGAAAGAGAGAATAGAACACACAACGAAACAGAGAGAGAGATAGAGAGAGAGAGACGAAAAACACAGAGAGACGGAGATGACCTGCGAACTGAAGAAAGAAGAAGAAAAACAAAGCGAAGAAGAACAAAGGAGGACATACCTCGATCTAGGGCTCCTACAGGTTCTTCACCCTCTTGAGCTCCAACAGGTTCTTCTCTCTCTCTCTCTCTACAAGCGTATCCCGAACGTGTCCCGAATGTGTCCGGCTGCGAAAAACTCAAGAACAAGGGGATACCTCCCATAGCATTCGACATGTGTCGGACACCCATACGTTGCCTCCGGAAAGGTGTCCATGCTTTATAGCTTTAAATAGTTATGACTGATGACTTCAATTTTTTTCCCTCGATGGAGAAAGATGATTAGGTAGCATTGAAAGCTATGTTTGCGAGAGGCTTGTGCACTGGGTTACCCTTTATTGAAAGCTATGTTAGGTTATATGTAGTAGCTTGGTTTGGGAGGAAGAGCATGGCATTTTGAATTTTTTGCATAAATTCAATTTGAGACTCCCGTTTTTCACCACTTGTCATCTTTGTGTGCATGCTGGACTCCTAATTTTTTTTTTTTTCTTCTCTTTCTTGCATCTTTTGAAATTCTTTGTGCCTTTTTCACCACACTTAAATCGCTTATAATGGCAGGCATTCCTTGTTTCATTTTAAGCTAATGCATTGAGTGCACTTTACAGAAGAAAACATAATAACACTTGACATATTCTCTCTTTCTCTCGGAACTGTATTCACTTTCAATGTTATCTGATTTTGTATTTATTAATGGTAACCTTTTTTCTTCAGTGTATAATGGAAAATGGTGCACTTCCATGCTTGCTCAGTTTGTTAACCCATAATCATAAAAAGAGCATCAAGAAAGAAGCCTGCTGGACTATCTCAAATATTACTGCTGGAAATCGCGAGCAGATACAGGTAATGATGTAAATATTTGTAATTCAAATCCTTCAAGCTCCATGCTATGTTGAATTTATAATTTTTAGGATTCCCACTTTGACCTCATGCATTTGCTCACGTTTTTTTAGCTCCATCCAGTCAAGGTTTATGCCTTACCTTGGATGAGTTCTAGAGAATCTAGACCTCAATAAATGTGTATGTTATCAAGGTCATTTGGATCAAACATTTGAAGGGTTAAACCGAAGACAGGCAGAGATTGTGCTTGTTAATTCTTTTGCTTTTGAATTTGTAAGATGTTTTTTAGATCAGATAGTTATATGATCGGGGATGCTTTTTTGCTTAAAAGAAAACACATGCACGCATGCTCACACACAAACACAAACACAAACACAAACACACAAAGGATCTAATTTTTGTCTTCAGATGGATTGGCTTGCCAAATGCCCATATAGTGCTTGAGGTCCCATTTTTTGGTTTAGAGTTTTAAACGAGTGCTACTTTCCACAATATCAATTTTTACATTGATTTTGTTTCCCTATGATCTAGTCATTAGAAAAATCATCATCATTACTACATATACTTTGACATGACAGGCTGTAATTGCGGCTGGCCTAGTTGGCCCTCTTGTCAATCTGCTTCAAACTGCTGAATTTGATATAAAGAAAGAGGCGGCTTGGGCAATTTCAAATGCTACTTCTGGTGGTACTCATGAGCAAATCAAGTATGTTTCTCTCTAGTTACCTCTCTTAATTCCCTTTCTTTAATTCCCTTTCTTTATAGATGTGAATTTTGATAATTGTCATTCATCATGGATTGGGCAGGCACTTAGTCGATCAGGGCTGTATAAAGCCTTTGTGTGATCTCCTTGTATGCCCTGATCCAAGGATTATCACTGTCTGTTTAGAAGGGCTAGAAAATATCTTGAAGGTTGGGGAAGTTGAGAAGACCTTAGGTAACACAGGAGATGTTAATTACTATGCCCAGTTGATTGAGGAAGCTGAGGGGTTAGAAAAGATTGAAAATCTTCAGAGTCATGACAACAATGAAATTTATGAGAAGGCAGTGAAAATTCTTGAGACGTATTGGTTGGAAGATGAGGATGAGACTTTACCTTCAGGTGATGGTCCCCAGCCCGGGTTCAACTTTGGAGGAAATGATATTCAACTCCCGTCTGGTGGATTCAACTTTAAATGAAGGTACATACACTCATCTAGTTCAAGTATTTACTATTTTTTCATACAGACAAGACCTAGATCTAAACCTGGCTTTTGATTTGAGATTTATTTCCTGACCTTCACATTTTAGGCTGTATGCTCTAAGAAGCACGCACACTTTTAAGAGAGTGCATGTCCATGTTCGACACTTGTCCGACTCATCGGACACTTCCTGATGTGTCAATACATGCCTAAATGTATATTTATTTATTTATTTATTTATTTTTTATATGTTTAAACCCAAACACACTTTGGACACTTGGGTAATACACATGTCCATCACTTGTACACATGAAACACACGATAACTTTGAACAAAATAACCTAGAGAGGATACAATGATGAAAGAAAATAACATAAATTTATACCTATTAATCCATCTTCGTTTAAATTTTAAAATTATTGTTACATTGCATTTTTTGGTATCTTTGAATGAAATATTTATATATTTATTATAAATATATAAACCGTATATAGTGTCCCTCACATGTTGTGTTGTGCATTTTTCAAAAAATCGATGAGTTAGCATGTCTGTGTCATGATTCATTCTTTCACAAACAATCATTTTGACATTCTTTTAACCTTTGCTGCTATTTTGCACTAAAATAATATTTTTTTTGACTGACCAAGTGCGTAGATTGTAGGAATTCCAGTTTTGGGATGAAGCAGTTCATGATGAGCAGCAAGGTATATGTTGGTGTCGAGCCAGGTCAGGGCAGCTCACCATGTCAGGTTACAGTCAGGTCCAGTGTCCATTGTTGTTGAAGCGGTGCCAAGCTGTGGTAATCATACTACAGTGGTCAAATAAAAAGGGTTGGGAGGGTTTAATGGCGAAAAGGATGGAGCCTAATGGTGGTTTGGTGTTTGGGCCTTGTGTCGTGCAATGTTTTCGAAATAGCTATAAGGTGATCTTGTTGCAAGAATGGAGGTTTCTGAACGCCACATCGCGCCGTCTATATGTTATTCAAGTTTTGTATTAGTAGTCTCTATGGAGTCCGTATGTTTTTCTTATTTTCAGTGGGTGAATACAATTTTGATGAGCCTTTTGATTGCAAGAGAGGAAATTGAGCTTATTTTCTTGTGCTATATGTCCCTTGAAATGAATATTGTGATTACATATTTGTTTCTAAATGTCTTCTATACTTTTTTTTTGTTTTTTTTGTTTTTTGAATCAAGGGCTTCTATACTTTAGGCACGAATTTCATGTCAGTGTTGGTTGCTGTTAGTGTCACAACATCAACTTTGAAGTATCATTGATCAAGTCACTTGTATATGCACAAGTCGGCTTATTTTTTCGGTGTATATTTAAAAATTTCTTTTAAATTTGATTTATTTATCTTCTGAGGTGATTTAAAAAAGTTTTAATTGAGTTGATCATGAGCTAAGTTTGAGTAGAGCTCAGTTTTATAATCTGTATAAATTTATTGAGTAAGAGTGACTTCAAAAATTTATTCAAATTTGACTTGCTTACATGGCTATTATGTGGAATTCAAATGGGTTAGTTTACAACTGTTGTAATAGTTGCGGATCCGTTATTAAATTTTAACTCAATTTTCAAGAGAAAAAAGAAAAAGAAAAAGTAAGGCTGTGTTTGAAAGGATTTTTAAATTATAATTCTATCCACACATTTTAATACTCCCTCCGTCCCAAAAATGGGGTAGGAATGGGGTAGGATAGACGCAGAAATGGGGTAGGAATCGTAATTGCCAAGGGTCTTGTGGAAAGTGTGGTGGCGGTCACTAGGAAAGGAGATAGGATTATACTAATTAAACTAGTTATTGGAGGGAATATAGTGAATATTATTAGCGCTTACGCCCCTCAAGTAGGGTTAGATGATCAGACTAAGAGGGATTTTTGGGAGCAAATGGATGAGATCTTACAGGAGATACCCGTAGGAGAGAACCTGGTTATAGGTAGAGATTTTAATGGCCATGTAGGCATAGATAAAGTAGGTTATGAAAGGGTGCATGGTGGATACGGTTTTGGTGACAGAAATGAGGCTGGAGAGAGAATCTTAGATTTTGCGTTGGCTTCTGACCTAGTGGTGACCAATACTATGCATAAGAAGAGGGAGGAGCATTTGATAACCTTTAAGAGTGGATTAGTTAAGAGCCAAATAGATTATTTCTTAGTGAGAAAAGTGGACTGTTTAAAATGCAATGATTGTAAGGTGATTCCTGGTGAGAGTCTGGTCTCTCAACATAGGATTTTGGTACTAGATTTATATTTTAGAGGGCAATACCAAGTTAGGAAGGATGGTGGGCGTTGTAGGACAAGATGGTGGAACTTAAAAGGGGAAAAACTAGAAATATTTAAGAATCGAATGGATAAGGAAGGTACTTGGGACTTAGAAGGTGATGCTAACACTATGTGGAATTCGATGACCAACTGTATGAGGAGAATCTCAAGGGAAGTGCTTGGAGAGTCGAAAGGAATGGGACCCAGCTCTAGGGAAACTTGGTGGTGGAGGGAAGAGGTCCAAGCGGTAGTTAAGGCAAAAAAAAGAGTGCTTTAAAAAGTGGCAGAAGGATAGAACTGAGGAAAACCTTAAGAGCTATAGATTGGCTAATAAGGAGGTCAAGAAAGTAGTGAGAGAGACTAAGTTGAAAGTTTATGATGACCTATACACTAGACTAGATAGTAAGGAGGGAGAGAAGAGGGTATACAAACTTGCTAAGATACGGGAGAGGAAAACAAGAGATTTTAATCAAGTAAGTGGGCTCAAGAGTGAGGATTCTAAGGTATTGGTGAAGGTGATGATGATTAAGGAAAGATGAAGAATTATTTTGAGAATTGTTAAATGAGGAACATGGAGTACGACAATAGGGGAATAAATAATAGTAATGACGATAAACCAGACTATGATTCTTCGCGGGATTCAGGACTTTGAAGTAGAGATTGCACTTAAGAAAGATGAAATCAAAAAGGCTTTAGGACTGATGATATCCTATTGAAGCTTGGAAGTGTTTGGTAAAAAGGAGTTGGCTTGGTTGACTAAGGTTGTTTAGCAAAATTTTTGTTGACTAGGGAACAATCGCCAGATAAGTGGAGAAGAGTATTTAGTGCCAATCTATAAGAATAAAGGTGATGTCCAGAATTGTAAAACTATAGAGGATTAAGCTAATGTGTCATATAATGAAGTGTGGGAGAGGGTGATGGAACACTGATTGCGAGACATAAAGAGTGTCAGAGATCAATTTGGGTTTTTCCTGGTAGGTCAACAATGGAGAGCGATCTATCTTTTGAGGAGAGTTATAGAAAAGTATAAAGAAAAGAAAAGAGACATTCATATGGTGTTTATCGACCTTGAGAAAGCATATGACAGAGTGCCCCGAGATATTAATATGGTGGGTGTTAGAGAAGAAAGGGGTGACAAAAGGCTACATTGACGTGATTAGGGACATGTATGAAGGGGTGGTGACCACTATTAGATCGCCAGCTGGAGAAACAAATGAATTTCCTATCACTGTAGGGTTACACCAAGGATCTACCTTAAGTCCTTATCTTTTTGCTTTAGTTATGGACGAGTTGACGATAAATATTCAGGATGACGTGCCATGGTGTATGCTTTTTGCAGACGATATTGTGTTAGTGGATGAGACTAGAGAAGGAGTTAACACAAAGTTGGAGATTTGGAGAAAAGCTCTTGAATCTAAAGGATTTCGGATAAGCAGAACTAAGACAGAGTACATGGAGTGTAAATTTAGTAACAGTAACAATGAAAGCAAATGAGAAGTAAAGATTGAGAACCAAGAACTGTCTAAGAGTGAACATTTTCGTTATTTAGGATCGATTATTATAACAGCTGGGGAGATTGATGCGGATGTGGTTCATAGGATTAAGACGGGATGGTTTAAGTGGAGCAGTGCGTTTGGGATACTATGCGATAAATGAATACTTACTAGACTTAAAAGTAAGCTCTATAGAACGACTATTAGACCAGCGATGTTGTATGGGACGGAGTGTTGGGCAATCAAGAAACAACATGTAGATGAGATGAGTGTGGCTGAGATGAGAATGCTAAGGTGGATGTGTGGTAAGACTAGACAGGACAGGATCAGGAATGAGTGTATTCGGGAATGGGTAGGAGTAGCACCGATAGAAGATAAGTTGAGAGAGAATCGTTTGAGATGGTTTGGTCATATTCAACGGAGACTAACAGACGCAGTAGTGAAGAGATGCGATACTGTAACGATAGATGGAAGTGTTAGGGGATGGGGTAGGCCTAGATTAACGTTGACTAGCGTTATAAATAGATATATGAATCTACTTAATTTGACTAATGAAATGGCCTTTGATAGGGCCGCGTAGAGAAGAAGGATTCATGTAGCCGACCCCATTTGATGGGACTTAAGGCTTGGCTTGGTTTGGTTTGGTTTGGTTTCAAAAATCAAGTACAAAAATAATGTAAATTTCTTATTTTGTCCTTTTTTTAAATTAATAAACAATATAAAAAGTACAATTATGACATTGATATTTTCAAAAAATGTACTATCAAAAGGGTAATTTTGAAAAATCAACTTTTTTCAAATGCAATAATTGTACTACCAAAAAAAGTTGGATTCCCCAAAAGGGACTATTATTTTGGGACGGAGGGAGCATCATGTTTGGATAGGGTTTTCAAATTATATTTTCACAAGAAGAAATTTTGCATAAAATTTTGTGTAAGGATTTTTAATTTTTTTTTTTTTTGAAATTTGACCTAATGGGTCGTCTGGCCGGTTAATCGGAATAATGTAATTTTTTTTTTTGCAATTGACACATGTTAATTTTTATATATTCAAAAAAAATATTTTTCGAATTTTTAAAATTTTTTTGTGAGTTTTAATAGAATTTTAAGTTGTGTGTTTGGTTATAAGTTGTAAGTTTTTGTATCAAATATTATATATTACATTAAAAATTTCCAACTCAATTCAAAATTCTTTTCAAAATTTATTCACCAAATAAAATTTTCATACTAAATCATAATTTCAAAACTCATAAATTCAAAATACAACCCCTATTCTCAAATTATATTTAGCACGTAAAAGTTCCAAAATGTTAATGAATTGTGATTTCAAGCAGTGGTCCACCTCTCTCCGTGTCTGGTCTCTATGGCAAAACTGAATCCCGAGAGCCATCTTTTTCATTCACTTCCACCATTATATATCTGGCAAATTTGTCTATTTATCTTCTAAATTTTTCTTACTATGTACCTTTTTTGTGAAATTTTGCTGTATTTGCAAAATTACTGGTAAAAAATATATATATATGCATTATTGGACATTATTATAAATTTCTCAAAACGCTTTGCTACTCTTTGACTCAAACTCATATTAAATTGAGTTTTACCCTATGTTGGGTGATTTGTTAGATTTTTGGATAACACTCTTCATATTCAAATTAAGGAATTCTATTTTTTTTAGGCACATTTGAAAGGGAGATTCATTGTCACCCCAGATTTCTAATGGCGAAAAATATGACATTGCAACTTATTTGTTTGGAGTGTGTTATATAAACCCATCTTTTTATCTTTTTTAGGTTATATTACCTCTTTACTTTTTTATATATTTTCGTAAAAAGTCAAAAAATATATTTATTTAAACCATTCCAAACATTTTGTCTTTTCAAATCACAAACTTAAATTGATTCTGAGCAAACTTTACTCAATTTTTAGGTTATGTTTGGCATCTCCTAAAAAAGTTAAAAAGTAAAAATGTCATCGTTCTATTTAATTATTTAAGTCACATCACCTTTTTACCACATCACTTCAAACTTAACTCATATTTCATAAAAAGTTAAAAAGTACGCTTATTTAGAACATCCCAAACAACCCTTAAGTGAGAAATGAGTAAGGATTGGTGGAACTCATTACATTAGAGGATAAATTACAAATACACTCCCCGAGATTTGTTTAAAATACAGATTATTCCTTGTGATTTTGAAATTATAAATACCCCTTGTCAGAATTTTTTATTTAACAGAATTAATTAAAAAAATAAAATTCATAATTGATGTCTAATACAATAATAAAATTACTTAAATTATTAATTGAAACATATTTCCAATGTCTTTAAAAACTGTTAATTGACTTCATGATTTATTAATAAAATGGACAATTTGTTATGAAATTAGAAATTTTAAGGGCTGTAATGTAATTTTCAAAATTACATGAGGTGATTTATATTTTAA